CATCATGAAAACAAAATACAAATCCATCCATCCATCCATTTTCTTCCGCTTTATCCGTTGCCGGGTCGCGGGGGCAGCAGTCTAAGCAGAGACGCCCAGACTTCCCTATCCACACACACTTCCTCCAGCTCGTCCGGGGGGACCCCAAGGCGTTCCCAGGCCAGCTGAGAGACATAGTCCCTCCAGCGTGTCCTAGGTCTTCCGTGGGGGCCTCCTCCCGGTGGGACATGCCCGGAACACCTCCCCAGGGAGGCGTCCAGGAGGCATCCGGAACAGATGCCCGAGCCACCTCAACTGGTTCCTCTCGACGTGGAGAAGCAGCGGCTCTACTCCGAGCTCCTCCCGTGTGACTGAGCTCCTCACCCTATCTCTAAGGGAGCGCCCAGCCACTCTGCGGAGGAAGCTCATTTCGACCGCTTGTATCCGCGATCTCGTTCTTTCGGTCATTACCCAAAGCTCATGACCATAGGTGAGGGAGGGAACGAAGATTGACCGGTAAATCGAGAGCTTTGCCTTTCGGCTCAGCTCCCTCTTTACCACAACGGTCCGATACAGCGACCGCATCACTGCGCACGCTGCACCGATCCGCCTGTCAATCTCACGCTCCATTCTTCCCTCACTCGTGAACAAGACCCCGAGATACTTGAACTCCTCCACTTGAGGAAGGACCTCTCCACCCACCTGCAGAGGGCAAGGCACCTTTTTCCGGTCGAGCACCATGGCCTCAGATTTGGAGGTGCTGATTCTCATCCCAGCCGCTTCACACTCGGCTGCAAACCGTCCCAGTGAATGCTGCAGGTCCTGGTTCGTTGGAGCCAACAGGACAACATCGTCTGCAAACAGCAGAGATGAAATCCTGTGGTCCCCGAACCGGACCCCCTCCGACCCCTGGCTGCGCCTAGATATTCTGTCCATAAATACCTTAGGGAGTCCTTGGGAGTCCTTTTCTCACAAATATTTGGCCCATAATCATGATTATTTCAAACTATCTGCCAAGATATATAAAGAAAAACTCTTTAAGATTAAAATCAATGTATGTCGAAAGAAAAACCGTTCAGGTTTTTGAAAGTAGAACAAGAATTCCGTCTGGATAAAAAACACAAAAATGATAACATTTTGTGAAAAATTACTAAAATTTGGCCAAATGTATCTTAATTTGAGAACATTCTGACTGCCTTAAAAGAAGACTTGCCAATGGGAGACACAACATATTCTTGTTTTAAAAAGATACAAGCAACAGTTGAACACTTGAAATAAGACTAAATGGATGTCCCATTGGCAAATCTTGTTTATCTTAATTATTTCCATAAAATAAATCACTCAGACAGCCTGTATGTGGATTCCAGGAGTGATGTCTTCTCAGTAACTCCAAAAGGTTCTATGCATAAAGGACTAGTGGTAACACAAACCAGAGAGTGGTTGAGGGGTGGAGAACGGGGGTTTAAGTGACACAATGGGTTGCTATGGACACTGGTGACATTCAGGGAGCCTACGTGCAAGAGGGCACAGCTGCTCCTGGTCCTCTGTCCATCACACTCAGAGGTGCAACGTGCAAGAGGATGGGGGACTCATGGAAATAACATCTGTCTAGAATCCTAGTGAGATACTACACGACTACTTGGACACTATCAACTTGACCTCACATGTTGGGCATCTGTCCGATCATTTGAACTTTTTATGTATTTATTTATTTGATTGGGACAACACACATTAATGAACAATCATATACAAGTTGTGCACAAATTGTAAATGTGCCGGATTGTAGCAAAACTGCTAATTGACATCCGTAGTCCCGAGGCAGGACACACAAAACTCAACTAATGTCAGATTGTACCGTACAGAGCCATATGTGTCATTGTCACTTTACTGTCCCATACCCTCAAACAGAAGTACAAATGTATACATACTACTATACATTTCTTGCTCTAGAATATACAGTAGTTTATACTTACTTCTTTATCATGCTAAAGGGAGGGATTTCAGACTTGGTTCTGTATTATGCTAAAGTTTAAGATTGTATTGATTTTTTATTTTGCTAAAGTTAGGGATTTTAGACTTGCTTCTTGTTTATGCAAATGCAAAGAGATTTTATTTGGGCATAGCGTTTATGCAAGTTTCACATTTATCTTGTGTTGTGTGCTCTTCATAAACTGTTCTGTAACTGTTGATGCAACACTGAAATTTACCCAATGTGGGACGAATAAAAAAGTAAGTATAACATTTCTGACTTTAGCATAATAAAGAATTAAGTAAAAAAAAGTCTCCAACTTTTTCATAATGAAGAAGTAAGAATGAAACATGAACAAGAGTGAACAAAATCATAACAATAACATGTATTTCAAAGCTGTATGGAAACACTGTATTAACCAAATATGTAAATACTGGCGCACCCTCCAGCTTGTGCTATAACGAAAAGTTACGCAACGGACAGCACCTCTGTTTCTCCAAAATCACAGGTCTTTATGTAACGCACATTGCTGCAAATTTGTCTGTTTTGATTTCCTCCGTGTTCAGCTGTGTTTCAACTGAATATGACAAGTGAGGACTACATTGTCTGGCCGTTTGAGCCTCAGCTGCAAAAATACAAGCATTGTTCCTAATCATTATCACAACACACAACTCTCGGATTCAAAAAGTCATTCATTTTCGTTTTCACTGGGCTCTGCTAAAACAAACCAGACAGGACAGGGTGCAGAACGCAAACAAGTCCCCCGACAAGTTTGTAGATCATAAAAGGATGGGGCTTTGAACGCATCGTTTGAGGATCTGCAAGATATTTTATTGCCAGTAAACAGGAAATTCGCACACTAAGAATTTGCATTAGCATTTGTGGTAATAAATGGTTTTTCAGAATCCTTTATTGCTTGTGTGGTTTCTTCTCGTTGTTTCTACCAATGGGTTTGAGTTGTAACAATTGATATAATAAGACACAAATCGTAATAATAATACAATTACAATAAATTCAATGCCATTTATTTTTGTTTGGCACTAAATACCCTAATATATACAGATGTCTACGCCCAAATATATATTACTTGCACTAGAATATATTTTATATAAATATATAATTTTATACTTCTTGAATATGCTACAGTCAGAGTAATTGTACTCGATAAGCTAAAGATAGAATTTTTTTATACTTGTTTCTTCTCCATAGATATAGAGATGTTTTATTTAATTGAGAATAGATGTAGTTATAGTAATTATTCTTTATCGTGTGCTGTGTGCTGTAACTGGTGATGCAACACTGAAATGTCCCCACTGTGGGACGAATAGATCTCTTAATCTCAATCACAACAGTAGCTATCTCGGTGGACTTTACAAAACCATTGATTCACCAATCTAGGTCAGAAAATAAAACAGTCCAAACACATGAAATGCAATGATAAGACAGATGTAGAGCCATTGGTCCATAAGGGGCAGATGACCAACGTCCATAAATGTTGATAAAGTCCATAATTGTGGTTGAAGATTATCAAGTAAAAAGTGGCAAGACAGTAGGACTTAAAGGAAAGCCCTCAATCAAGTTACAGTATCGATATGTTCACCTCCTGCCTGAATGAGGATATTTGTATTCATTTATTTGAATTTAGGACAGTACATATTCATCAATGTGTCTGCAAATAGCGTCAACATAAATATGCTGGAATTAGCACAAAAGCTAAATTGCATCCATTGTCCTAAGGCAGGTAAGAAACACACAGTTGGTAAAAGTACAAACAATAAGTCGACAAGCAAGACATCGAGAATTTAAAAGAAGAGAGAAAGAGAAAGCCCAAGGAAGAGCAGATGATATATGGGAGCATGAAGCATCATATGAAGACAATGGGAAAGAAATACTCAAGGATGTCAATGAATTCATTCAAAACTATTTGGGCAGAAATAACATGCTTTTCTAGAGAACATCTTGCAACGTACCTCAACAATCACCGAGGATGTACATGTCACAAAATGTAGACCGGTGATCATCAAATACAGATATAAAAACCCACAACAACTTGATTATAGCCAGATATCAATTCAAAAAGATTAATTTTGAGTTAAAAGTGTTTAATGTAGTTCTTTTGAAAGACTTTGTTAACACGTTTCAACTTACACCAACATTACTAGAAAGTATCCAATCATTGTACTATTCTGAGAGGGCTGCAAAAGAAAGAGGCATCGGTTCTTTCTACTGCTTCAGCCATCTGAAAGATAAAAGCCTAAAATCTCAAGGATTAAGCCTGATATAAATTTGCGATCATTAGAAGGTGTGTGGGGTGAACCAGATATACAGGTGTACACAACATCCCCTTTATCAATAGTACTCCCAGCATTATGAAATTCAGAGAAATTCCCCCCTTAACTTGAAATAGAGAAAAAACAGTGTGTTGAAAGGCTATCAAATGCTAAAAGCTAGCAAGTAAACTGTGTATTGCTATGGTAACTATGGTAACCAAGCATGTACACGCTGGGTAATTACACTTCAAAAACTTGAACAGGGAGTTGCAGTGTTAACCAGTCTGTCGCAGGTTGAAAAAGTATTTTATTTTTACTTTTTTCTAATTTAGGTCTAGTTTAGAGAATTGTGTGGCGTAGTTTTCTCCTCTCTAATGAGTTAAAGTCACGCCTCCAGAGGACGCGCTGATTGGTCCAAATGAGGAGGTTCGGTCTGCAGCGTGTGGGACAGCCCCCTTTCTAAAACTATATAAAAACCCCGGCTCCACCATGAAGAAAATCTGTTTTTAAATCTCTTACATATCAAAAAGTGCGCGTAGAGTTCACAGATCTCTTTCCGACATTTCTTATCAAGAGACGCCTCCTGAACAAAGAAAGCTTTAAGGTTTTTCTCACGTTTTTACTCAACTTTGGTGGTACCATTTCCATTTCGCCAACATGGGTGCCATCTAAAGAAGACCGGACGGCAACCAGAAGAAAGAAGCACTTTTGCAGCCGTTTTCTTTTTTCTTTTTTTTTTTTTTTAAAGGAGATCTCTGTGTGTATGTTTTGAGCTGCGAACCATGGAATCTGACAAGGTAACCATTGTGAACTTAGCTCGACACACCCCTGTAAATATCCCAAATGTTGTCTGACTCGTTCTGTGTGTAGCTTTGCCTTTGTGCGCATGGGATGTCCTGTAAACTACTTAACAGACTATCTGAGACTGTCCTGCATGTGTCTCTCTGGGGGTCTCTGTCTCGAAAGCACGTTGACTGTTTTGTGTGACTGGGCTACTACGACGTTATTAACGCTTTACGACACCAGCGGCGGCACGATCAGACCCCCACCAGTGTAGTTTACTTTGTACGTAGACTATAAAGCTCAGGATTCTCTAAAATCCAATACAATTTCAGGTTTATATAGTCAAACAAACCTTTTTTGTGAGCTCGGGCCGCGCCATGATTAATCTGTATTGTGAGTGCGCGTCATCACCGGCTTTTGTCTCCTGGAGTTAGCTCCGCATGCATGAACCTCCTCATAACATACGCTTAAAGCCTGTTTTCCTCATTGTTTGTCAGTGTCGTTAAATTGTTCTTGAAGAAAAAAATGCATTGATATAATTTGATCATTGTATATGAACAGATTATAGACGAGACTGAGCCAAATAATTGTAACGTATCATAGAAATAGTCCAGTATAACACAAATGTTCTTCTCATTCATGTCTTTTGCTTTTTCCACTTAGAGCTGATTAAAATGTTATCAAATATCTAGAAAATACAATTTGATTTTTAACGTGGGTGCTCACAAAAGTTAAATAAATAAGCTTATACTTATCAGTTGCCAGATAATACTGGCTGCATGCAGGCCCATAGACACAATATCAAACGGAGCAGTGACATTTCTAATGTTTTGTAATCGGGAATGTCATTGTGTCCTGGCCCCTCAGCTGGACGTGCTGGGAATGGTCCCTGTTCCTGTCCCACTTTGGGAATTGGCAGCATATTTAGCTCCATGGCCTTGCATTCACCAGGATGTTTGCTCTCCTTTCTCTCTCAGTTTGTTGCAGGCTATAAATCCAATCATTGTTGATGAAAAACGGTATAAATTAATACATATGTGCAAAATCAATCCACACTTTTGATCGGTCGGAACGCATTGTCCGAGAAGCCTCTTCCAAACATTGCAATTTGAGATAAATATATACTGGGGTTCTGAACTTTCAGGTTTAAAGGTTTGAGTTTATTCGTCCCACTGTGGGAAAATGTCATCGTTGCATCACCAGTTACAGAACAGTAGGAATGAGGAGCACACAGCACAAGATACGTGAAAAATAAGTCTATAGAGGAATAAAATTAAATATCTAACTTTAGTATAATATATAAGCAAGTATATAATCTCTAGCATTAGCATAATAATAAGTGGCTCACAGGGATAAGTGTGCAAACTTTGTTTTGTGGGCGGATTAGTTCACATCATTTTACTTTTACAAGACTCTTATTAGCAGGGCTATAATACAATACATTATTAATGAAACAATATTCTTTAAAAAAAAACCTGACAATGTCAACAGTAAGTAGCTAAATCTGTTGTATCTGCTGCCAAATCTTTATTCTCAATCCTCTCCATCACTGCCTCCATAATACTCAAGTATATTTGATGTTATTTGCTTGAAAAGCTCCTCTTTGTCTTTTGTCCTGCTGTTGAACCGTCCGCAAACTTTTAATGAGGCTCGCTGAAGAGTTTTTGCAAATGTTGAGATTATAAGATCCAGGAGGGATTTAATTGAAAATAATGAGCAACGTTTTAGTGTAATTCTTTGGCTCACAAAAAGGCTCTTTGTGGTACAAAAGGGCTAATACGGTTACATAAGGAACAAGTTGGTTTGGCAAGGTTCAATGTGAGGTAGTACTAGTCCTATCAAATTAACTTTATTTTTGTATAACCCTAAATCACAACAGTAGTTATCTCAGAGGACTTTACAAAATTGTTGTAATTCACCAACACAGATCAGAGAAAATCAAACCCATAGAGCCATTGGTCCATAAGGGCAGATGTCCATAAATGTTGTTGAATATTGAGTGTCCTGGATCATCACCACTGTCTTTGAATTGAACTAAATATGCTTAACTAAATAGATAACTAGCATAAGATAAAGTCTGGTAAAAGTACTGAAATCGTATTTGTTCTCAATAAAAAGTATAAAAGTACAAAAAACATTTTAAATATTGCCTTTGAAACACAAGCCCGTGCTTCGTCCAAACCCTTTTTTTAGATTTTGTATTCAATGCAAAAAACATTCATATTTCTATACCTCTAAATGACACCAGCTGTCGTCTTGGAGGACTTTACAAGGTTACCGATTCAAACACTTTTATTTATATTAATTTATTTCTAAGATTAACCTTCCTAAGTTTGAAATGAATAATTACTAAACTTAACGAGATCATCCTGTTGTAGAAATATTTCACTTTGGCAGAGAATATGACAATAAACCGAACACAAAGAAGCTTTGTCGCCTGGCTAACCAGTAACCACAAAGCTAACTACTATAAACCTGTTTTTATATTGCGCCGCCATATTTTAAGTAAGAAACTAAATACATTTAAGTTGTTTAATGTCAAGTTGCAGTATTTGAAATCCCCCCTAAAAATGTTTTCAGATAAATAAAAAGTACAGTACTGATACCAGGAAAAAAGTGAAGTTAAAAATAGTACTTTCCTCCTCCGCTTACGGCACTCATTGATGTCTAACTTTGGAGAGAAACATTTAACATTCATGTAGCAACCATAACAACTACACATGATACCACATACCAGACTTGTTGACATTGTTCTAAACCAATCAGCGATGACTGGGAGACAGACAGAGCAGCCCCCACCTCACCCCCTCCCCCAGCTCCCCATCCACCCTCCCCCAGCCTCACCCGCCCTCCCCCAGCTGTGCAAACGCTGCTTTTAGATCGAGATTGTGAACGTGATGAGCCCTGCGTAGCCTTCCCTCTACTGTGTAATACTGTTGTGTGAATTTCTTACTAAGGATTGCTCATTTCTTCATTATTGTGCCGCTACTATGAATACTACCAAGACGTTGAGTTTCATAAGAATGTAATAATCACAGTAGGCTTTCATAATAAACTGGCTTCCTCCCAAAAACTCATCTCATTTGTAGTATCCTGAAGGCCTGTCACGATTCTTGCTATATTCACTTATTGTTCAAAAACACATGGACAAAACTATATATTATTGCCTCAATTTACTGTCGGTACATTTTCTTTGCTATGGAATTAATTCTAATGAAATAGACGTAAAAAAAATCTACACTGCAAAAAGTGATGACAAATAAGTCAAAAATTGGTCAATTTGGCAAAATGTTTCTTAATTTTAGCACATTTTGTTTTGTTTTAAAAAGATACAAGAAATGTCTCCCTTGAAATTAGAAAATGAACGCAAAAGTTCTTAAAATGAGTCTAAATGGCTTTGTTCGTGTTTTAAGACAATCAGAATGTACTCAATTTAAGCAATTATTACCTCATATTTTGTAGCTTTTTAAAAAAAAAAGCTACAAATCTTTTTTTTTAAAATTAGATTTGTAGCTGTATTGTGCTTGTGTCATTGGCATAAATGCATAACATCTGCACGCCCTTGCCTCAGGCCAAAAGGCAGTTTTTCATGTTTCACAGTGAGTAATGTTGTTTTATTGACACCTTTTTGGAGGAAGTCCTTGATCTTTGTCTTGGTTGTTTCTGGTCAAATGCTTCCTGTTTAAATAGTGTGATAGAGATTGGTTTAAGTTAGATTATACGGTCTCCAGTCTGACTGCAAAGGAACAAACGGCCACAACATGAGAATGCTTCGTGTAGAGACAGGCAGGTACGGACAAGCCTAGTCTCGCGTCTGGGTTCAGAGCCTCCCCAACTCACTCTCTGCACTAATAAAGATGAAGGTTAAGACGTCCTCTCTTCGTCCCACAGTTGAGAAATTTCAGAGTTGCATCTTACAGAACAGAAAGAATGAGGTGCTCACAGCACAAGATAAGTGAACAATAACTATACTAAATAAAATATAATGTATCTAGCTTTAGCATAATACAGAAGCAAGTGTAACATTTCTAGCTTTAGTATAATACAGAAGCAACAACTATGACTAAGATTATATTTCAAGATTAGATCGATTCGAGGAATTTAAAGTTTAAACATATTTTATTCTAGCATTCAAACTGGTAATCTGATTGCCATTCTGCTTCTGGTAGGATTAGGGCTGCACATTTTGGCAAAATATCTGGAGTCGTGCGTTCATTAAGGGCGGGTCAGTTGGTCTGCTCGAACCAAATGTTCCTTAATGAAAGCATATTTTGACTGCCTTAAAACAGGATTTGCCAATGAGACAAACACAATTACCCTGTGTTAAAAAGATGCAAGAAAAAAAGTTACATATCTTGAAATGAGACCCAATGGCTTTGCCTCATTGGGCAAAATCTTGCTTTAAGACAGCCAGAAAGTACGCAAATTACGATAAAATCAATAGATACAAGCAATTATTACCTAATTTTTTATAATCTTTTGCAGCACATTTAAAGGTTAAAAGTAACACATTTAAATATGCAGTCCTGCCAACCTATTATATATATAAAACACAAATAATAATAATAATAAAAGTATATCATGTAATAGTTGACCAAGTAGAGTCTTTTAGTTTTTCATGATATTTCTCTATTCTTTCTTATTTTGATCTGCAGTCCGAGATCATTTTGATAGAGAGAAAGATTCCCGCACACCGTCTTACTTGCAAATTAAAAATAATTTATTAGAAGTGCAACGTTTCGGCGTTATGCCTTCATCAAGCAAACATCAAGCCTGAGATAATTTTATTATAATAAATATATAAATAATGTCATCGGTAAAGGTGATTTAAGATCAGTTTGTATATCATTGATCATTTGATTAATATTACTCACATTTTTGTTACTAACCCAGGGATGCTAGTCCTCTGAAAGGTTCCCATTGTGGGACAAATAAAAAAATCGCTCAATCTTACTCGTAATACAAATAGGGAAAAGTCATGAGATACACATTTTACACACCACTTAAAGAGCTT